TATTAACTCTCTCATAAATATTAGTCGTAAGAAATAGAATTTCAAGTAATTAACAGAAATTTAGACGCATGAAATACTACTTCAAAGAATTATTTTCAGTACATCTTGCGAGATACTACTTCAATTAATAATTTTCTTTATCACAAGATAAATAGATATTTTCAATACATACACTTATCTATATATGACGTCAAATAAATCTTGAAATTTACTTATACAAACAAGAGTATTTCATTAACTATTACCAATACTTTTTCAAATATTCTTACCCATGTCTGTACAAAACTTAACGTTTTGAACAATTTTTTCCTTCGACAAAAGTGGCGGTCGGCTTTAGTTTTCGATATATGTATGTACTCGTTAATATATATTTGTAATATATATTTTTATATTATTCGAGATACATTGTCGAAAATGATGTAAGAAAAGAAAACAATTTGGTGAGAAAATGATGTCTACAAAAGGAAGCAATTTGACAACAGGAATCCGTGCCACAGTTACGTTAAAATATAAACATTTTAATTAGTCAAAAACATCTGACGTTATTTTAAAAATAACGAAACACAATTATGTATATTCGAAAATAAAATGTAAATCATTCAAGCGTTTCAACTTTAACGCAAATGTGGCACAGGGTACCGTTATCCGATTGCTTTCTGCACACATCATTTTCTCAACGAGTGTCCTAATTTACGAGGATAGGTCCTAATTTACGAAAGACTTGAAAGTTGTAAAATAAGGACCGCGCCCTAGTGATTATGGATCCTTAATTACTTATTACACGTTTCATGTACTATGTGTGTACGCGGGTATTCCGTACTCATCGAAAACCGATACACGACAACACGATATTTGCTGAAATATTGTCTCGTTTCTGAAAAAATATCGATGATATAATCTTGTCCTGCTCTTGTTTAATTCTTAGGATAGGAAACATTGATTTTGTCTTGCGATTTTCTTAGCTTCTTTTCGATAATTAATTTCTTTTTTCAATTACCACTTTCCTGATGATACATTCGATGCATTCATTGACCTTCTTTTTTTTATTATTTAATGCGATGAGTAATATAAGTATGTGCGTGCGCGTGTATACAGGGTAGGGCATTTCAAAAGAAATACTTGAATAACTCGCTGGTTTTTGACTACAGCAAAAATCATATCTACTTTGTCTGTATTTGCATAAAGCATTTTCGTAAACCGAATGTTAATGCAAGGTCGCAATTTAGTCGAAGGACGGACTAGTAATAGGATCCGTAGATAGAGATACCAGTACAAGTATGATTCATACGTTTATATTCTATGACCCATAATAGCGATAACGAGAGGAACATATTAACAACAACAGAGCACGCGGATATTTGAAAAGTAACTTGGAGAAATTTGTTTTTCATTGTAGTTCATATGTTGTGACTTCGAATGATCTTTATTTATAGGTCATTGAAAATAGGCTTCGTAAACATTTTTAAATGAAACTAAGTAAACGATTTAATCAAAATGACACATTAGCAGCACGTAACTAATAATTTTCTACAATTTTTTTTAATTTGTACACAACATATTCTTATCCGTAAAATATGGATCAGAAAATCGATTAAAAGTAGATGTATAGTGTACATAGTAATTTTAAAGTTAGGGTGAGCTATTAAACAAATGACGATTGGGGAACTCCCAACAAATTCAAAACAGTCAGTGCCGATCGCGATTTTCGAATTCTTTATTGGCTTTATTTCGTAAAAATGAAGTAAATAATATTCATAAATTAAATATATACAGCAAAATTCAAATTATTTAAATTTATTAACACTATGCCGTCCGGTGGCACCACGCTGGTGCCATGCAAAAGCTGTCTGTTGTATGCCGGTGGTACCACTTTGGTGTCATTTTAAAAAACTGAAATAACATTTGAACTATATTTCTTGGGTGTTAAAAAGCAGCAAACCAACTATAGCATTGTGCTTATTTAACTAAGAATTAAATACGAAAATTCTTCGATGACTTATCTTAATTTTAGAAATTTATATTACTATACTATTTATATTACTACCATTTATATTACTATATTATTTTAGGAATTTATATTATATATTTATATTAATTTTTTTTTTTAATCTGACATTTCCAAGCTATTATGCCGGCGTCAAACGAAAGAATCATATCTAAGATCTGCGGACGGCATAGTGTTAAGATTGTATTCGAGAGTATTTTAGCCACATTGAAAATTCTAAAGAGAACAACATCAAGATTCTCGTTTTGACACTGCACGTGATCTTTCGAGGAAAGACAATATACGATATCGATATTATTCTCGACCGTTGTGGAAAAGTCCTAGACTGGTGCCCAAACGTTTCTGAAATCACAGGACGCCCCGACGTTTCCAGCCGAGGAGGCCGAATCCTACTTCGAGGAATCCGCGGGGCCAAAATCGCATCGGTCTCGGGTCCGTGGTATATGCTACACGCCGGAAAGGCTGGTTAGGTCTCAGGAGTATAGAATACTCACACCATCGCCCCGTTACTTATCCATCTCTCAGACGAGGCTGATGTCAGAAAATGAAAGTCCACGGAAAGCGCCTCGCAGCCGACGGCGATTGAATTATCTTATCGACTCTAAGCAAGTTTGTAGGTATTTTCTCGTTTACGGGGGAGAGCCTCTCTCGCACACGGGCACGCGAGCCCACACGAGCACACGACGTTCGACATTCGCGCGGAGCGTGCAACAGCGCGCGGCAGATCGCGCAAACTTGTTCGAGCAAGACTGCCGTCAGCCAGCTTGAATACATATAACCCAGCCATTGTGTCTGACCTAGTAAAGTTTCGCGGTCTACCAATATGTGAAATCGGTTCGCTTCGCTTCGCGTTCATTAGACGTACTTTCGTTTCAACACCTGCACCCCTTTAAACTTCTGCCGCTATGCTCCGCTCGGGGGAGAAACTTGCCGAGTTGTTGCACAGATTTTTGCGAATCGCTTGCGAAAACTGCGCTTCCGTTTTTGCTCCGTTTTTCGATCCGCCGAAGGGGCTCTCCTGTTTCGCTCTTACGGACTGTTGCTGCGCGTTCCAAAGAAACAAATCTCTAATCGGCGACGACCGTTCGATCAGGCGACGGTCACCAGAAAACTCTCGTGAACTCCTCGCCTGTGGAGGTCGCGATGCCGGCCGTTTTCTCGGAAGACTGGACACGCTCGAGGACGACCTCCGAACAATACGAGGATGCCTCGTCGATCAAGCACGAGAAAATTAGCTTCGACGAGTCGCGGGCACCGGATTTGATCTATAAGAGATCGAGCAACGAGGGGTTGAACGTCACCTGGGAGGACTGCAAGAGGATAGAGACGCGTAGCTCGTCCATGGACGACACGTCCGGGATCCAGAGCAACGACTGGAGCTCGGACACCCACAGCGATCTACAAAGCACACCGTTGTGTCTCTCCGTCGAACTGGCATCGACGAACTACAAGTTGGACACCTCGCAGGTATATTTATTTCTGATTCACTTTTCTACCTTGAACTTCGGACTCGATCCGGCCCAGTAAGAATCCGTGCGGGCGAGCTTGCCGTCGGATTTTGTTGTTCGAAATGACCGGTTCTTTATTTTACAATTTCCTAAACTTCACTGATTTCATCATCGGATATGCTCGAGTAAATTACATTATTGGGACAAGTTTTACACTACAAGTTAATCTTTTCTGTTCACGTTCACCACTTTTTTGCGCTGCAAGCGAATCGTTCCGTTGATCGTATTCACTATTTTGCAAATAAAATGAATTCCTTCGCAGGTTACATTCAAATTGGCCGTCTTTTATAAAATTTTGCATATTTAATATGAATTTGTAGATTTAATAAAAAATAATATACATTTCATTGCAAATAATTAATTTTCAATAATTGTTTATAAAATGTTATTCGATGTTTGAATTTAGTATGATTTTTATTTGTAAAAGGATTAATTTGGTGTGTGAAGAAAATGAATGTGATCTACAAAAGGATTGATTTCGAATGTAAAACTGTGAATATGATCTACGAAAGGATTAATTTTGAGTGCACAATGAAATGTTTCTCGAATTATTATTATCACTGGACTGCGGATTTGATGAATTTATAATAAAAATGAATAATTCAAATTTAAAACAATGAAGCTATTGAAAGAATTTATGGACGTCTACGTATTATTTTTAGCTCACTGGTATTAATAAAGAAAGAAGGAAATTTTTATTTGTCCAATCTTTGGTGCAATCGATGAAGATTGTTTTTATTTTGCATAAAGATCCGCAGTCTAATTATCACTGGCTAATTTCATGTTTACCGCATCTGAACAAGCATTTCCTTTGGATTACAATGGAATGCACTGTTTATTATTTCTGCTTTAATTTTACTCTAATTATTGGTTAGATTTTTAATTTGTTTGCTAAATTGAGATGTAAAGTATCCAATGCATTATTATGAATGGAACATCCCTTCCATAACTGTCCTTTCAAAATTGCACTATAATATTAAATACACGATTATTTTATTTTCAAAAACTCTTGTCTTGAATATCTATTTCGAGTCGAAATAGAAAACTCGAGCCGAAAGATGTGTTGTACCTTTAAAATAGGATCTCAAAGTAGAACCTTTTTCAACGAGGTTCTCGCATCGTGTGCTCCGATCAGAACAGAGATGAAAGTTTCAATTAGAATCGATCAGAGTTAATGTTGTCTGATGGTATTAGAAAGATTCTCTGTCAGCAAGTATCGAATATTATTTGTTAACAAATATACATTTATACATAAATACAATTATGTTGTTTTAAGACGAGACCTTTTTCGATAAACGTTCTAATTCAATAATACTTTGTTCCGAGCACCATTTTCATTATTTCTCGTGTTCCCCTCGTGAGATCTTTCTCAATGAACGTTCTAAAATCATCGTTCCAAGGTTTTTTTGATTATTTCTCACGTTGCTCTCGTTCATTTTTCGAAGAACGTACAAAGACAGTTCTACCTTATCGTAAAACGCTTTTCGATCATTTACTCACGTTCTTCTTGTTCGTTTCTCAATTCGTTCATTCTAAAATAATTCTGCCTCGTTCCGAAGCGTTTTTCGATCGTTTTCAAAGCCGCCGCGAGTCTAATGGTAATTTGCCAGCGATTGATTTTGCACGAATTTGATTCGCAAAACGGTGAGTCTCCATTTGAACCTAAGTCGAATATATTGGGTTGGCTAAGTAATTGCCGATTTGTTCAATGAAATAAAAAATTTTCTTTTTACTTGGAACTGTTGAAATTTTAGCCTCGAACAAAAATTAATCTATAGTTTACTTAGTAAGATATCTTCAGTTAAGATATCGGTTTACATTTCGCCGGCTCCGTCAGCGGGCAGCGACGGTGACGGAATCTGTATATATTAGATGCCGCGATACATCATCGCCGGTACCTTTTGATGTACATCGTGCCCTGACCGTCACGTATACAATGTAAGATGCGACAAATAAAACGTCTCTGATTGGTGGACACGACGAACCCAAAAAGAGTATAAAAGAAGC